GTCATCGAACCAGTTGTGAAACTTGTAGAAGCCTTCTTCTGCCAGGAAGCGGGTGGTCCGGTAGTTGAAGTATCTGGGAACGCAAACACACAACACAAAGTGCGCACACTGTGATCCAACTGCCGTTTTGAACTGAAGCATTTTCCCCTCAAGACCAAAGCCCCGGACTAGACGTGATTATTTTTTTAAAAGGTACACAAGGTACACAAGGAGACCAAGTAAAAGCCAGAAAAAAAACAAACAAACTTACGGGTCAAATTCGTGGATCACGCTCTCGAACCGCAACACGGAGAAGAGCCGGGTGGAAAAGGCTGCAGAACACGAGGTCAGAGGTCAGAGGTCACCCCGACTGCGGCACATTCATCTTATTCATTTTAGCAGACGCTTTTATCCAAACTTGTAATCATTTGTACAGCTGAGCATTATTCTACTTGAGCAAACTGAGTGAAGCGCCTTGTTCAAGAGCATAACACCATCAGGGATTCAAACCCACAGCCTTCCAGCTAAGTCCAGAAGCCATTTCTCAGAGCACCGATGCCCATTTTCACATTGGCTGGATATGGGCAAACCGTCTGCTGATTACCGCCACCGTCCCGCTCCTTGTCACGATCGGACACTCACACAGCACTGCTGCCATGGACAGGATGAGCAGCTTGAGGAGGGTGTCCTGCTTCTCGTAGGAGAGCCGGAGGAAGCCCAACTTCGTCATCTTCGCACGGGGAGGGGGCTCTCGACCTTAACACCTGCAGAGGAGGGAAGGGAGTGGTCAGAGGGGCGAGACGAACAGAGAGCTGCACTTGCTGGGCATCCTCTTGCCAAGAGCCTCAGAATTTCAGGCCTGCATCTTGATGTACAGGACAATCCCAAGCACCTTGTTTGTTCAGCAGGCTCAGGTGAAATGGTGGCTCACATGAGTGCATGATACACTCAAAGCACACGGGTGCAGGGACAGATGGAGGGAGAGAGAGATAGAGGGGCACAGTGTAGTCTTCCAAGATGGATGCCTGGGTTTTTATTACGTTCTTTATGGTTTGCGCTTGGCTACACCCAAAGTGATGCACGTTTGTAGCTTACTCAAGCCTATAACAGCACTGCCCCAGGATCAGAACCTACAACCTTCTAGTGAGGAGTCCAGACCCTGATCCACTCTGCCACACCGCTGCCTAACAGCACTGGTGTCGGGTACGATACACAGTTATGTGGTTTCACATCCCATCACCTCCTGAATTTAAGGATTTGCAGATTCTCACATTGTATTCAGAGCACAACTGTTCAAACTCCTTTTAAAACACCAGTCCAAAGACACAGAGACACAAAGAGCATGATATTCTATTTTTCCCCACACTATTTAACCCAGGGATGTGCAATCCTGGCACTGGATGGTTAAGTTTGTCTGCACCTGAAGAGTTGGGGGAAGCTGTTAAATGGGCTGAATTCAGCCAATAATTAAACCCGAGTTACACGGTTAAAAGCAGAGTTGGAATGAAGACCTGGAGGCACGCTGGCCCTCCAGGATCAGGACTGGACTACTTTGATTTAACTTGACACTGCTGTTTAAAATGTAAAGCAGACTGCATGCAGGCTTTATAGACTGTATAAAAGGCGGGGGGAAACAAATCTATAAAACACTGAAGGGATAGTAAAAGCAGTTTTACACAACGACTTAAAACACCCCGAACGAAACGTTTCTCACGCTTGTTTCTGAGAACAGCTTTCATTTACACTGGTCTTCGGGATAAGAAACATTAGAAAACGATGTTTAGAGATAGGAGTCCGGGCCCTAGGATTCTCTTGGGATCACGTTCACAGCACCCGAGAATAAATCACTAACTTGCAGAGAGGAAGAGATCTGATCGAAGTCACCGCTGAGGGTTACAAGCAATTAAGAGCTCCGGCATTCAGGAAGATTTACAAAAGCAACCCGTGTCCAAGAAACTAAGGCGGTTACAGGAGTGAAGTCGGTAAACTGTTTACTCAAACCCCAAAACAGGAATGTGACCTTCTGTTGGCCTATTTTCCAGTTAAAAAAAAACAGAACTGGAACAGAATTTAGTGCACAAATAGAAACGATAAAATACGAGGCAAGAAAGTTGCATTATGCCAGTGTTAATGAATATCGCTTTGTCAAAACGTTTTTAAAGTAAACCGCAGCTGTTCTCCCACCCCCCACAACCTCTCACAACTCCGCTAAATGCACGCATGCTTCGCGGTTATCTTAATTATTGCGCTTGGTAATTTTTGTACAAATCCAGGTGCTGGTTAGAATAGTTAGCTACGTATGGATGGCTTGCAGATGGAACAGAAGCTTCCAAATTACCTGCAAAAAAGACTCTATTTTGACTCCTGACAACAGCCGCTGTCGGGCTTTCAGCTGCACATGCTGTAGCGATGTTGTGAAAATTGATGTTGTCTTACTGAACAATTAGTTGTGTTAATTACCTTCTATCAGTCCCTCTAACCCCTCCACGGCTCCAGCTTCTCACACTAAACCTTTCCGACTCACACTACCCTGAAAGTGGCTACGCCCCGCCCCACTAGGCCGGTGCAGTCTTCCATTGGCTATTCCTCGGCGATCGGGACGCTGGGCACTTTTGGATTGGCCAGGCAGACGTCCATCAACAGCCAGGCAGGCGCGTCCACGAAGACTAGTCAAGTTTCTCTGCTGCTCCAGCAGTGACGTGTCCAATTTAGCAAGGAGCGGAAGCGAATTCAAAGCGGAGTGCTTTCACTGCAGCGACCCCGCGACGTTGGAGGCGATTTACTAATGAAACGCAAAGGGTTTATCGTACAGAAATACAGTAATACTGTTTTTTTCCCCTCCCGAAGTCTTGCTTACGTACTCCCCTTCCCCGAAAACACACCTTCAAGGGAAGTAACATGCACAACACTTTAAGAAATAATTCAGGACGCCAGGTTATTCCCGGCTGCCCACACATATCCGGCACCCAAAGATAACACTTGGCCAGCTTCCCATTATTGGAGCACCGAATGGTCTGCCCTTAATTTTCGCTCCAACAAAAACAGGGCCATGTTTTCACTCCCGAGCCAGATAACCTTGATTGCACGTACTCTGGGACGATAAATGACACTTTCAGTTTATGTTAATGTAGCGTAATAAAGTTTATTGAAATAAATGCATAATACTTTTACAAAACTTCACTCACAACAGTTAACCTGCAGACTTGGCTTTGTATGCTCCTGTTGCAGTCATTTCAATGGCTTTAACAGTACCATCAAGAGCTAACAACTGTTACAGACCTATATAACGGGTAAACACTTTTTGTTATGAATTTAAGAAACACCAGTTTTTTTTTCTTCTGTTGCGGATTTGTGTATCGCCGACAACCCCTCCATTGAGCCATTCATGTTTTGAGAGCCAGAGACATTGGGCAGGTCCAGAAGTGACTGAGGAGAGACTTGTCCCTCCCTCTCTGACGCCGCACGAAGCCTGCAGGGCACCTGGGAGGTTGCAGGCATTGCCGCTTCACTGCAAGCCCCGAGTGCGCCAACTGACTCATCCCACACCTACCCACAGCAATATCGAGCCAACTGCGAGCTTCCTTTTGGGAAATCCTGGTCACGGTCAGCCGCAGTCCCACGAGCCACCAGGTTTCGGAAACTGGCGCATCACAGAGAACCACTTCACCAAACAAGGTTCAGAGCCGAGTCCCAGCTCACTTTGCTCCGGTGTTCCGAGACGCTGCCGGTGCCTCGCTTGTGCCTTTCCTCACGTGTGCGCACGGACACAGAGACACAGACTCATGGCATCCGAGCCCCGCCAAGGCGAAGACCAGAGGGAGTGGCTCCATTGCTTCTCAAGCACCTGCAGGATGTGCAAGGCAGGAAGCAGCAGAACAGCCGAGAACTATTCGGATGAGGCTAAAACTGAACTTTGGACCATGTGGTTACTATCCAGCACTGCCATGCGGGCAGTTGATCTGGGCTCAAAGACCGAGCAGCACAGAAGCAGTTTTGGGAGTTTGGCAGAGTGTCTTCGGTTTTGTTTGCAGTACCTATTTGTCTGTTTGAAGGGTCCCATTGCCCCCTAGGCAGGTTTTACCATGACCATATCTATAAACACCTGGACTCATGCAGGCTGAGATCAACTTCACACGCCAAAAAATAACATTTTAGACGAAAGTCCACTTGCGGACAGATTTCTGTTCATACGACACGTCTTACTTGTGTTCTTGCCCCACACCGAGACACTACCACGCTGACCTGATGTATCAGACCCATACAGCAGGGCAGATGGGAGTCAGCTGTTTGGAGCTGGGAAACGAGCCCGATGATACGAAGTGGAGCACATGGCGGAGGCAAGCTCATCCGAAGAGGAAATGGTTATTTTTGCTGTGCAAGGGCTGGCTTTGTGGAAAAAAAAACATTCAGCCCAATGTTGAGAACAGTTGAGCTTCTACTTCAAAATGAGGCACTTTTTTTCCTTAAAACATGAAGCTTCTTCGGACTTTCTATTTCTTACACTGAGGATGACCTGAAATCCCTGCCTCAAAAGTAGCAGACATGCAAAAGGACAAAGGCTTAAGCATCCAACACAGAATTACCAATGTGGACAATTCTCTTCACAAAAACGTTACAGCATTCAAGGTATGTATCACTGATCTCTCTACAGACTTCCACTTATATTCTAAAGATATCTAACAAATACAAGTTTGTAGGGTCATTGAAAGTCTTTAATCTTATTCCTGGACAACAGACAAACTGTTTTTTTTCCCTCAAGACAATCCTTATACAGTTTTTATTTAAAATAACAACATACAGTGTAATTCTCACGTGAAGGAAAATAGTCTCTCTTTCAATGTCATCACCACCCACTTCAAGTACTTCCACATGTCACTACACAAACGTTAGGGTCGGAAGGAGGGAAAAAGTCATCTTCCACAAGTCCAGATCAGCGCCAGGGGCTGAAGAGGATAAAGATTTCTTCCCCAGAGCCAACAGAAGATGTCTTCATCTTCGGAGTTTTTTTTTACTACATGGGAACAGAGTATGGTCTGGGGAACTTCAGGTCCACTGCAGTTGCTAAATCCCTGAATTTGTGCAGAAGTTCAGAATGGTATTAAAAAAGAAAACCAAACCGCAGTCTGATCCAAATAGAGAGAAAACTGCCATATCAACACCCAGACCATTAAAGTACTTAGAACGCTGACATCCCATAAAGATGCCACCCTAAAATTACTGAAGGAAAGACCTGCTTGCATCCATTCCTCTTTTAAGACAGCACGTCACCAAACACACATCTTGGCAGGCAAAGAAAATGCTTGGAGGCAACTTCACAGTAATACTACAGCCTATGTGTTTCCGTCTGTGACACCACCAACAGGACATCTGGATGGCTTTTTTGGTGTACTTTAAGTAACGCTCGCTTTTACCTAATTTCCCTGCTCCTTGGTACTAGCGCAGCACGAACTAGACTATTGCACACAACACATGGACGTCTGAGTTTGATTTCCTAGTCCGCTTGATCCTGGGTTAGCTGTGACCACCGGGTGGAGTTTGCAGGTTAGAAGCTTCAGCATGTAAACAAGCAAACGGAAGAAAAACAAAAAGTCTGCACATCTGCTTGTGCACAAGTGGTGTCTGTGCTTTCGTCAGCTGGAACAATACTATTAACATGGGCATAATGGCACATTTTCTGCACACTCCTCACACCACCCGCCCCCTTGGAAAACGAAACACAAGCGGTCTCAGGCACAGAGCAGTCCAAACCGTAGCATTTTCTTGGAAAAAAAAAAAAAGAACGTCTGCTCCTAATTCATTTCAAACAGGACGAGAAAACCCTCCAGCGTGAATCAGTCTAAAAAACAACAACAACAACAACAACAACAACAACAACAACAACAACAAACAATTCCAGGAAATGAAACTAGAGCCATTGAGACCTTGTTTTGCCTGAGTGGTCTGAAGCCCGGGACCCCCGGTAGGGCCACGTGGAGTGTGTCGTTGTCCAGGCTGCCCTTCCCTGCTCTCCTCACTGTGCCAGCAGGGGGCGCTGGCGGGCCGGGGAGGCGCGGGGAGAGGCCAGCCGCTCGCAGGGGGCCGCGGCCGTGAGCGAAGACTGCAGGTTCATGGTCTTGTGGAACAGCTTGTTGCTGATGAGGACCACCAGGGAGAACAGACGCAGCTGAAAGTGACTGGAGGAGGTGGGGGGGGACAGAAGGCGAAGAGGCAGAGGTGTTTAACTGGAAAACCAGCAGCAAGCCCTACCCACAGTGTAAAAGTACCTTCAAGGAAGCCTACTGCGAACATCCTTGGTTCTTACCATTCTCTAAATACCACTACGCCGCTTCTCAAACACGGTCTATAAAAGGGTTCACATGCAAGGAGAGGGAATCTAGAATTCCAGGAGGTAACCGATACAATCTACATGCAGCGGATTTTAAGATTTAAAGCTGACTAAACAACTGTAGATTTCTGCAGGCGCAGGAGGAAGAACGGAGTGTGGGACTCACTAAGGTTTGACAGGACTCTTGGCCTCATTTGCGCTGATGATGAAGAGAGGGAAGAGGATTGAGAACAGGCAGCCACTAGGAGAGAAAGAAAAGGCATAATCATTCCACATGTTTGTGGTTAAGAAAAGCTCTTTCCACAAGCCCTCCCCCCTTTGGAATTGACACTGGCCTTTCGATTGGCATTGAATTCACCATGAGCCCACGGATTTCTGGAAAATCAGAGAGGTGGCTGTTGGGTATCGAGACAAGAGCGAATGGCACCACTGAAACCCCCAGCAGGCGAATCTGCGCCACACTGAAGAATCTCAGTCACACTTGTCTCACAACACAGAGCTGCTAACATCTGGGTTATAGGGTGGCTCTATTTGCACTCAAGTCCAGAAGCACGAAAACAGCCTTAAAGGTTTAAAACATTCCAGTCATACCTGATGATATAGGAAGATGGCAGGGCAGTGAGAAGAGCCATTGGCAAACCAAAACCAAAGTAGTAGGGCCAGTTTCTCTCTATGTTTGAGAGCCGCTGGTGCATCTCGATACCTATGGAACAGATGAAAACAGGATATGAATGTACATAGATATGAAGCCGAGAAACACAACTTCATCCTGGCACTCAGTTGGCTATAGACTACTTGGTACTCTCACTACATCACCAGAACATGCATACAAGTAACTCACATAAATCAATCACAACTATGTCTTAAGGAGCATTTTTTGCATGTCTTGTACTTAGAAAGCACGGCTGTGCTTCCTTCCTGCTGCTTGCCCCGCACTCAGTAATGGGCCTCAGCTCAAAAAACACAGAATATTTATTTCCACACGTCACACATTCATGCCACAGGCTGCGGCAAATCTGCATCTAGATCGAGCATCTCAATTCAAACACTTGCAGGAGACGTTCCAAAGCCTTACATCTCAGAGAAACCGGGGAAACAAATGGTTTTGTTTTGATTGTTTAAGTATTGATGACCCGTTTTCTTCCTGAAACGGGATTTTTCTGGAAATCAGCTTCCTAAAAGCTAACGGGAGGGCCCCCCCCCCATACTGACAATGTGTATTTCAACAGCAGGGCCGAGCAATACCCAGAGATGAAATGGGTGGCTTGCAGGCCGGCAGCTCTTTGTTTTTGCTGCTGGCCTGAAGTGCACGCTCACCGTGGTTGAACCAGCGGTACTCAAAGCAGTACAGAGAGTAGAGCAGGGACATGTGGAGAAGGCTGATCATCTGACCAACCACATCGATGGGGAAGAGGCTGACGATCATACCCTGAAAAGGACAGAAGCAACGCCATCACACCAGAATCAGATGACACCCGACTGCACAGGGTAAACCGGTCGAGGATTTTTAATAAGCAGAGTCTCAACACTTGGAAGGAGCATTCATGGAGATTAAGCAATTTGAGCAAAGTCATGCCAGGTCATGTCACGTCATTGGCCAAACCGCTTTATACCATAAGGTGTCACGGTGTACCCAGCAAGCAACGAGCGCAAGGCAGGGTACGCCTTGGATGGGACACCAGTCCATCCCAGGGCCAGTGCAGGCCAATCATACATGCGGACAATTTGGAGGCCACGGTAAAGGCCGAGGGGGGAGATTAGGCCCGGACACCGGGATAACTCCCTACTCTTATCGAGAATGACCACTGAGAGTCAGGACCTCGGTTTAACGTCTCATCCGAAAGACGGCATCCACTACAGTATAGTGTCCTCCCCCCACTATACCGGGGCAGTAGGACCCACACAGACCGCAGGGTGAGCGCCCCCTACTGGCCCCCCTAACACCACTTCCAGCAGCAACCATAGCTTCCCAGGAGGTCTCCCATCCAGGTACTGACCAGGCTCACACCTGCTGAGCTTCAGTGGGTAAGCCAGTTGAGAGCTGCAGGGTGATATAGCTGCTGGCCAAATTTAAGCCAAGTGCATCTGGAATACCAAATAAACAGAGACGAGCACCTGAATGAGGAAGAGCGCTTGCAGCAGGAGGTTGAACAGCATGTCAGCAATGATCTTACTGACACTGGGAAAGGGCTGAGGTTTCCGGCCTGACACCTCAAACGCAAGATCCGCAATATCCTGAGGGAGAGGATCAGAAGAATTCTCAACACTGCATTCTCCCCCACGCAATAAAGCCCTCAACGCGAAGTTTGTTCAAACCCCACCTGGAACCAAATGGCGTTGACAATTTTACTGAGCACGAAGAGAGGCAGCACCCAGAGGGCACTGAACACGGACGTCAGGATGAACTCGAGCCAGGACCAGACGTCGCCGTGTAAAGAGGGGTCGCCTGAAAAAGATGAGAGACTTTGGGAGATCTTACAAGCCAAGACAGGAGCTGCTGCTGCTGCATCACACCGATCAAAACAAGACCCCCTGTTGACTCCTCAGCTCCTCCTCTTAAATCCGCCCCCAGGCACACTCCTCAGTTTGTGCCCTGAACTCAAAATACGGCTACTGCTGAACTTTTGCACACAGCTGCTTTCTAAATGCTGGTTAAAATGATAGCTGCTACCCTGTTAATGTTCATGTCATTAATCAGGAATACACGCAGGTAAGCATTTCATTGTACAAAGGTACATACGGCAATAAACTTGAACTGGATCTAGAATATAAAAGCTGCGTAAAGGGTTATAAGCCTTGTGTAAACAGTATATACAAAAATGTAGCCAAGGCAGCTACACCACCCAGCAGGAAGATGGAAAGAGGAGAAAAGTCATATAAATAGAATTCAAAAGGCAGCTTCATTACTGGTTTAGCAGACGCCCTTATCCAGGGCAAATTACATCTGCACACAATCAGCACAGGAAGTAGGCAGAACATATCTCAATGTGTATTCAACGTGTGCTTATTCCTATGAAAACCCGTGCACCGCCCACAGGCTGTTCTCTTCCTCTCTGGCTCCACTTCATACTGCTGACAAGACGTCACAAGACATCACAAGTTACAAGACGTCGCTCTGTAAGCTACAGGAGTCCAGGTGATTCCATGCAGCCACGCCGGGATGCATCGGAACAATGAATCCGCACGGAAAAGAGTTGGAGGTTGACCCGAGAAGCCACACATACCGATAATTCTTGCCGTAAGAGTCTGAAGAAGTGGGATAAACACCCGGTAGAAAAGGAATAGACTGAGCTGTGAGAGAAAACAAAACAAACGGTCATAAAATCCTACACATATTGCTATTTCTTTCAAGACATTCACACCCCTCATCGTCCAACATATTCTCATCATAAAATCATTTGCAAGTTTCGATTCCTATTCAGATTGTGTAACGTTGGAGCTCTTGATGGAGCACTTACTGAAAATGAACAGTAGAAACTCCTGGATTGTAATTTTACTGCAGAAACTGTTCACAATTACAGATGCACCTGAGATTTTACACAATGTCACTTTTTCAACAAATGAATAGTTACTGCCAGGAAAATAATCTTGCCATGCAAGTACACGCACAATGATGGCAAATGACTACACAACTGTTAGATAACAAAATTTCACTTTTATTGCTCGCAGTCTGATTTGAGTTCACAGTTCTACAGTGGCAGCACCTACAAATTACAGAACGAAAAAAAAAGTTTACCCAGAAAACGCCTCCATTCCACGCACAGCACTGCAGAATCCGGCTGGCTAACTTGGGATCACTGAGGGAAAACACACAACACTACAGTCAGGCAAGGAAAAATTTTATCCACTCTACAGCTGTTTACAGCTGGGCTGTCTAACTCACTTCCTGGGAGACCTCGTCTCTTCTGGTTCTTGTTCCAGCCCGAGTTGTCAATTAAGCTAATTCACTTCATTAAAATCACAGTTACCTATAATATACCTATTGCCGGCAGTCATATCACCCTGAAGCTCAGCAGGTGTGAGCCTGGTCAGTACCTGGATGGGAGACCTCCTGGGAGAAACTAAGGCTGCTGCTGGACGAAGTGTTAGTGGGGCCAGCAGGGGGCGCTCACCCTGCAGTCTGTGTGGGTCCTATTGCTCCAGTATCATGACAGGGACACTATACTCTTAAAGGCTCTCAGACTGACTCTGACTCTCTGTGGTCATTAAAAATCCCAGGGAGTTTCTCGAAAAGAGTAGGGGTGTAACCCCAGCATCCTGGCTAAATTTCCCCCTAGCCCTTACCAGTCAAGACCTCCTAATAATCCCCGTCTCTGAACTGGCTTCATCACTCTGGTCTCCTCCCCACTGATAGCTGATCTGAGGTGAGCGGACTGGCACACTGTAGCTGCCGTCGCATCATCCTGGTGGGGGCTGGTAATGGGGGCTGTGGAGTCCCCATCACAGGTAAAGCGCTTTGAGTGGAGGGTCCATAAAAACGCTATATAAGTGTGAGCAATTATTATTATAAAACACCATGCAATCTGGTTAAAAGTCATACAATTACGTAGCTAAAGAATTAGACCTGCCACGTCACAGGGCTCAAGGGGGAACCAGAGGGCAGAGAACCGACTTCAAATGAAACACTCTGTGGTGTGCAATGAAGGTGCCTCTGAAAGTGGAACCACAGTGCGACAAACACCCCTTGGGCCTCTTCCCCACAATGGGGCGGCCGTTCTCCGTCGGGGTTTGGGGGGGGTTACCTTTCCTGCCGGCGCTCCTCGCTCTGCGCCCGCCTCTGCGCCAGCGCGCCACTGGCCCGCCGCCGCCTCTGCTCCTCCCTCTTCTGCTGAATGCGGGCATCTAGCTTGGAGATGGTCCCGATCCCGAGAATGGAATCCTTAATCCCCTGGGGAGGCATGGAAACGGGCAAGGCGTGACACAGGGAAGGAGGGCAACCCCGGGCCAAGGGGTCCCCGTCTCTCAACGGCTGGCCGGAAACCCAGTTTCTCCCGCCTGCCAGGTGCCGTGCTGGCCAAGGAACACACTTCCGTTGGGAGCATGCGTAAAATCCGAAAACAGTTTTGAAGCGGCAATCATTTGGGTATTTTGCCATTTTCACTGAACTTCAAAAGCTGAACTTTTTCAAATAAAATCGAAAGAACTTATTATTTTTTTTAATTCTCCTTTCTCTGCGTCCTTATATTTGTGTAACATTGGGTGGTCCTTAAACTAAAAACCTGTGTTCATTTCTACGGCCGCTATCATTTAAAGCAATTGCTTAAGTCTCTCAATTTTACTGTGGATGTGTGGGGAGTTTATGGTTTGGAGTTTCCAAATATTTCACAGCCAACTTCACACCCCAGCTGACCGGGATTTTCCTTTAAGTGCTTCTCTGGAATTTAACCCTTTATTGACTGGGTTTTTAGGTAAAACAAAAAGTATTCATTTGGTGTAGGAATTTCCTCCTCTGATGGAAAAGTAACTCAAAACAGCTTGCAAAATTGTTTATGCAGCCATGGTGAATATTCTGATGTTCCTATGTTGTCAACTGAATGTTTTATATGAGGCATGTAAATCTGGTTTTATTCAATACAAAGGCATCAGTTTAATACATTTTTTCCAAGAATGCCAAGTGAGATACATTCATAGAATAACGGTTCAGCCACAAAGCCACGACTCAAGAGTACAAACTTTTTATTTAAAGGTTGGGAAACACAAGCAGCTCCTCCTTTTTCATTCAAGCAAAAGGAAAACCGTGCAGCCCTGACTGCTGCCGAGATTTCCGACTTGCCTCATGTGCAGCCTTGAATTTATTCTGATTTTGCTTTTTGAAATGAGCAATGAATTCTGAATTCCAGAGCCAAAGAGCTTTACCACTTTTCAAAATAGCAATCAAAGAAACCAGTACAATCGAATTAAGATCTTCACATAATACTTGAGAGCTTGTTTAGTACTGTCTTAACAGAGGAAACATTCTCTACTGCATTTGCTACATTCCCAAGGTGGAAACGTGGGAAAAAAAACGGGAATACAGAGGGTGATTCCTGACCGTTGCAACACCATAAAGGAAGGTCCTGACACTGTCTGCCATCACTGGCTCATCTCCCAAGTCATCAACTGCAGAAGGAAGAGGGGTTTGGAATCTGGGAAGCACTCATGCTGGCCAGGAGAAATCCCAAGAACCTGCAAGCAAGCAAAGACTCCTTTATCTCAGGAGCAAAGAACATGACTCCGGTACTGTTAAGAGAGAAAGTTAGCAGGCTCAGTTCCCCCACATTCTTCTGCGAGTAGCCCATGTGCAAATTGCTCCAGGAAAAGACTTATTCACATGGTTTTGAAATACAAAGCCTATTGGGATCTGCCCTTCTGTACAGGCTGGATTGTATAAATAAATAGGTCTTAAAGATGAGCTTTGAAGGGCTCTTACAGTTATGGGGATATGACCCGCAGTTTTCATTCCCCATACTGTGACAAGGAACGGCCTCAAACGCGCCGTTTATGTTGCTAGTTTGTCATTCATAGTTTGTCATAGTTCGGCATTAGCACCGTTTTTGTTAGACGTGGAACGGACTATGCTATCTTGCTACTTCATTCGTTGATTGAATTCAAGATGAAAACGGAAACAGTTGCTACAACTTTAAGCTGTCATTAAGAAATGGACTTAAATAGGAATTTATAATTATTAGTATCAAAGCTCACCAGTAACAGAAGGGTAGAATCGCTTCCTAAAAGAACATTTTAAAAGTCACATTAAAATAGAGGAAAACCTTCTCAGGGTCCTCAGAAAGAGCGACTCGCTTGTCTTGGGTCCTTCCATAGAGCAAAATCTCAGACGCGGAAATATGTGTTTAACGATCCTGATTTATGGCTTATGATATAGGGATCACGTGTGTGTATATTTACAGTGTATATGTATTATAACCCATTGTTTCAAAAGTACGCAGTCTAATGGTCATTTATGCCAACATCAAATCCATAACATGAACATCAAATAACTTTCGATTTCATGGTTGTCTAACAGGTTAAAACAACGTAAAGGTTAGAAGAAGGAACGGTTATAACGTAGTGATCAGAGAGGATTTCACTTTTCACAATAAAACAAGGTTAAGTGCTTCCATTACCAAAAACCGAGAAAATAAAAGTCCAACAGGGGAGAATGACATTCAACGAAAAAAGTAAAGCACAGACAAGAATAAAGACATTTAAAGCCATTAAGCAGCTAGCAAGCTTCCAGTTAGCGGAGTTTTAAGTGATGCATATTTCCTGACACAATGTCTTTGTTGTTGGGCACCATAGCATAATCGATCAATCTATATTATTAGTTGTCATACATTTAATACACATTGCACGTTTATGTTTCGCGAAAAGCAAAGAGATGTTAATCCCCCACCTTCACTGTCTTTTAAGAGCTCAGCAGCTCAATATCTTGCTGTTGTTCAGATCAAGTCACGTATTTCTCAACAGCTCTACATATATACATTAACCAGCTGTCATCATGCAAAGCTCAAAAAACACACACAACAGCTACCCGCATGAAACCCTTTTCCAGCGACAGCCCGAAAAGCAACATTTTGGGCACCGGACTTATCAGACTGTTGCTGATCTGTCTTACCTCATGTAACTCCTTCGTTTAAAGACTCCCTTCGCCTCTTTTGTAGCTCTCTAATTTACTCCTTTTGCGATTCTCACATTTACAAAAACAACCCCCAGCCTGGCGCGACCAGGCCCGCCACCGTGCAGCAGTACGCATGCTCCATATCAGCGGATACTTAGGCTCATGGGATATGTAGTCAAAATAGAACCGAAAGGTGGTCGGAGCGGGAAATACGAAATACGGTAGTCTACTTCTGTTTAAAAATATGGATTATATATTACATTATTTTATATATTATTGTTTTTGCTGAGGCACTAAAGAGTGTACATTTTAAACATATTCAACTGCTTAACGGTGCACTAAATTATGAATGTAAAAAATAATGTGGATGTGCCATTTTCAGTGTAGAACATTACTTAATATGCCAAAAGGCATGTATTTCCATATCTTTAAATATAAGTGGAAAACTGTGATCTAACACATTCAAAAACCCGCCCACATGATTTCCTCCAGTCAGAGTGTTACAACTGTAATGATCAGCTTTTCACCGAAATGGCAAACTTTTTAAACAGGGCGACACAAAAGATTTAACATCTTTGTTTTATTGGAACATCAGAAAGTACAAATTATTCCCAATACTGCTCACATTCTTTTTGAAACCCTGTGGTCAGCTCTGTTTAAGGCAGAAGGCAAACCCACCCCCAGAAGATAAAGCTGGTAAGGTGTCAGTGCTTTGTCACCCCACAAATAAAACCTAACGTTTCCCAGTTATCCAGTAACCTGTTTAGTACCCTTCACCACCAGGTAGATTAGCTATAAATGAAATTAAAAAATAGGTCTATTCAGAATACTTGCTAGCATAACAGATCCCATCAAGATGTGGTAGTTCAAACTCAAGAACCTTCTCTGTGTCAGCCAATACAGAGGGATTAATGTATTGTATTTTCATATTTCTGACTCTTCTCTGTTCAATATAGAACGATGACAATGACAATCCCAAAAATCACAGACTACAGTGAAGATTAGCTGGAAGGCGAGAGCCAGGTTTTGGGTGGTGTGGCTCTGCGCCTGTGGCTGGAAGGTTGCTGGTTTAAATCCTGCAACCGGCAGAGGAATTTTACTCTGTTGGGCCCCTGTGCAAGGCCCTTCACCCCAACTGCTCCAGGGGTGCTGTACAATAGCTGACCCTGCTCTCTGACCCCAAGCTTCTCTCTCCCCATCTGTTTCTCATGGAGAGCAATTTAGACAAATTCCTAATGCAAGAAAGTATATATGGCTAATAAAGTGATCTGATCTTATCACCCTCCTTGGAAAAAAAGTGTCATTTAAATAAATGAAGGGCACACGCTAGCCTGCACAGTAGAGTACAGTAAAGTATCCACTTCGATGCATAGAATTGGAATCTTGCACATGAACTAAATGCTTCTGCATCATTTCGGAAGATTTTCAACCCAATTCCGTCCTGTAAATCTGAACTAGGATACAATTTTAACTTCAGCCGTGTGTTTTAAGCGCCAGCAAACAGCACGGACAATAACCCTGTTCCTGTGAGGGTAATTAGCTAGCAACTGATGAAAAGTTTGTTTATAACCTTTGTTATTGCAAGTGGACAACCATAATTACACAGTTCATGAGCTTTACATTCAGAAGGTAAAAGCACAAGGTAAGAGTACAATCTTCAAACACCCATAATCTTTTTTTAAAAGCAAACAATTAAAACAGAAAGAGATTTCACTGGCATTAAGCCTTCTTGCGTTATGTATTTTGTGTATTCAGGAGGGACATTTAGCACACTAAAAACATCATGAGATAGGACTACAGTGTGATTTAATTTAAACTCGGTTCAATTAAACTGCATCCACAATGACACACTTCTCTTCTCACTATTATTTTAAGAATAATAAAGGCGAAAAAGTGATGAAGAAACACAAAACCCCAACTTAAAGCCAGCATGTTTGTTTTTGAGAATGACATTTTCGCTTGATAAATAAATGCATCACGGAAAACAATGAACTAGATTAAAACTTCAAATGACAGTAAATCCAGGCTCACAGTTGTCTTTTTTTTTTAAAGTCTCTGTACTGTGTAGTCATTTCCCTTTTTCTTGGTCAAAAGTACAACCATTTTTAGTGTGCTTCTCTACTGTAACAAGGGGTTTCAGAAATAAGCGGCCGATTACAGAAGGAAAATTAATCATGACACTGCCTCTGAAGATGTTTCTTTCCCACCGGAGTCTGGAATTAGGGACTGAATCCTGGAAAGTCCCCAGGCCATTTCGTCTTCATTTCAGAAAAGGTGGAACATCAAGAAGACATGGACAGGCTGTCTAACCTGCTGTAGCTGTCTAGGGAGCTCTGGGTTCCTAGTTAGAAGGTCGCAGCGCACAAACCCCACCAAAGAGGAAAGACAACAAAAGCAACCAAAAGTAAAGTGCAGGTTCTGCCCACAGCCCTACACGGAGATGGACCCATCCCTGAAGTTGGTTTTCCCGATGAGAACGTTGAGCAGGACTGCGCGGCCCTGGCGGCACTCCTGCTGCGCCTTCCCGATGACCTCATCCAGCCGGCCCTCCTCCTCGCGTCCAATCAGGTACCCCTTTCCGCCGTAACCGTCGGCAACGACATGGTAATCTGCGTGCAAGAAACAGAAGCCATGTTTTTTTTTTACAAGCCCGCCGCTCAAACGGGGCGGCCTGTCAACAAAACAGTTTGAACACTCTTTCTTGGCTGATGATGGGCACTAACCCAATCATTGGATTAGTGGTACCAACATAAAAAAATAGGGGTTCTTCCTACAGGCTCAGCAGTGTAAAGGAATAATAGTTACATTTGTTTACGTGGCACAATAACTCATTGTGCTTTATTTACTATAGTTGTACAGTATACGAGCTTTAGCTTTAACCTTTTTTTTTTAACCCGCTTTATCTGCTTGAAAGCCTTTCAGGACAGCGTCATACAAAAAATGGCTTCCGGAAGTGAACCGTTTGTCATGCTGCTGCAGGACGGAGGGGCTGGGGCACTGACCTGTGAAGGCCAGGCCGCAGGCCACGTTGCTGCCCAGGATGGGCACCTGCTCCCTGGAGATCTGGCTCCAACAGGCGTCATTCCCCACAAGGGCGATAACAGGCGTCTGTGTGGGGGAAGAGAAGAGAAAAGAGTGCGCTAGCTACCTGGAAAATACCTGTCCGCAGGGGGAGGAAACTGAGGCCAATGCATCGTTCCCCATTTAAGACTTCAAAGGCAGGGACAACAGGACCCACACCTCCCCCCTTGTGTGTCCCAGCACCACAGACTGTGTGCTTTAAATTCCCTACACTCCTGCAGATCCCAAGGGAGGATGCAAGACAGTGAGCAACTGAGATGTCGGGCGAAAGGGTACCTTGTGGCGAGTGAAGGTGTCAAATTCGGCCACGCTGTACCCCAGAGAGCCGTCTCCGTAGACGATCCACACCTGAAAGAGTCGCCTTGGTTACGCAGCCCCTGGGAGACGAGCCTGGGGTGACCCTCCACACACAGCCAGCCCACCCAGGGGTCTCAGCACAGTGCCAAACAGTTGCAGATGTGTGAGGAGACGGCTGCACCCAGACAGCTTTGCGACATTCCTCAGAACAGATCCTTGCTAATCTCCATTGTCACATCCAAGTCCAGATGGATTTGTCCAGAACATTTTTTTGGAAGGATGGCCAAGTGCCGCATAATGAAATATAGGTTAAAGGAACAAGTAAAGGTTTATTCCATGCTGAAAAGAGAAGACAAGAGACAACGTTTCGGGTGTGGAGGCAAGACACCTGAACGTTGTGTCTTTTCTTTTCAGAGTGGAATAAACCTTTGCTTGTTCCTTTGCATCCTAAATGTGCCGACGCAGCTCCCTACTTGAACTTCTACAGGTTAAAGTGCTCTAAAACAAAAACCAAAGAAACAAACTCACCCAAGAATAAAAGGTTTGGGGCACGAATGATCAAAATCTAGCTCGATTTTTTGACAAAAGCAGATCACCCCAGATACGACTTTTTCTAGACAACTACAGCTTCTTCACTGGACCATTCATTTCCAAGCAATAGAAGTTCTGTGTGTTTAATAGTCACTGTAGCTTTCAGTCATGTGCAGCTAACTGCGTGATTGCTGTGTGAGTTGCTGTTGAGAAAACAAGAGTGACAGGTGTTTGTTCGGCAAAATAGCAGCTGTATTGCACCTCTGACTCCGGTCTGCAGAGCTTCGCTCCCAGTGCAAAGCCCCCACCAACACCCAGGGTTCCGAAAGCACCTGTTGAGGAGGACAGAAGAAAGAAAAACATTGTATTCTGTTGCTGGGATCATCCAGAAGTGCAAGAGACTTAGGACTGCCTCCCCATCATTTTTAATAGCCACGTTACAAGAATAATGATCCTAGTCACTTGAGGAGGTCCTGGAAAAGTTATACTTCTGTAACAGTGTCTGATTTTCCATTTGATGCAAAACTGCTTGCCAGAGTGTAGCTCGATATTTCTTTTTTTTAAATGGAAAAAAAAGGTCCTAGCAGAGCAAAAAGGTCCTTTAATAATCCTCTCCTCGCCGCCACTAACAAACATGCTGGCCTTGACAAAAGCTGAAACCTTTCTGGACTCAGGAGAGGAAACGGGACACTTAGGAAACGTTTCATACTTCACACTCGTAGTTAAAACAACAAAAAAATAAATTTCTCCACTAAAAGCAAAGCAGAACTCAGTGTTGGCTGACTGAGCACCACTTTTCTTTAGGGGTACATGCAGCAAGACAGAGACAAACCAAACTGTTCTGGCCAAATTTCCCCCTGGCCTTTACCAATCATGCCCCCTTAATAACCCCCCTCTCTGTACTGGCTTCATCACTCTGCTCTCCTCCCCACTGAGAGCTGGTGTGTGGGGAGCATTCTGACGCACTATAGCTGCCATCACATCATCCAGGATGGGCTGCACACTGGATGCAGGGGAGTATTCATTACCTGTAAAGCACTCTGAGTGGAGTGTCCAGAAAGGGGCTTTATACAGTAAATGTAAGGGAATATCACTATAAACGCAGTTGTTGATTCAGCATGTGGAGGAGAGGGCAGAGGAATGTTCTGTGTGAACAGGCTGTCGCAGCCCCTGGTTTGTGGCGGGCTGGGTTCAGGGCTCCAGACCGACCTGGGTCGAGCCAGCGCAGAGGTCCCCTGGGTCTCATGATGTAGGCAGCGCTGCCGACGAAGTCGCCCCCGTCGGCCACGATGATGCTGTCCTCCGCCATCAGCTCCTCCGCCCGGTGCAGGACCCGCAGGGGGTTCAAGTGCCGTTCGGTCCTCTCGGCCGCCTTCTCCCTGCGGGGGACAGGACACACAGGGAAGCACTAGGACAGGCAGGAGGGCAGGAGTCCCGGCTCGGAGCACAGGAAGCGGAATATTAACCGGAAAGATCTTCTCTGCCTACCCTTCGGCTGGCACCCGTCACAGGTCTGCACAACAGAGGAAACTCTGGCATTCACGATAACGTTAACAGTCCTGATCTTAGTTTTATCAAAGTCTTGAGTACAAGACTTGAAAAACATGGTTACCACAATTGCAAACAAAATATTAGGGACAGGTGGCACTCTCTAGCCCCACTGGCAGTAATAATCATCATCATCATCATCATCTGTATTTTATATAGCACCTTCAAAGGTGGTTTCTCAAAGCGCTTTATAGAATGACAACAACAAGAAAAAATACACAAGAAATGCACAATGAAAATACACAATGATGGGAGACAGTAGAGGGGGGTACTGAGTACAGTAGGAGCAGAGGGGTAAAGAACAGAAACAGTTCAGTAAGGACCCTTCTACAGAAAAAGTAACCCCCCCTGCTTGGCTAGGCCAATATTTGGCATTTCACCAAGGCAAGTGTGGTAACTTACAAATCTGCTGCGTTTCAGTTCGGGCCAATGAACTGTGAAGAGCAAGCAGAAACAGCTCCAGCACGGCACCGTTTCTGGGACCAAGCGTACCTGTTTGCCTTCTCCTTGGCCAAGTCCCCTTCCTTCAGGCTCTGCGGCCAATCTGGAGGGCATCTGTGACCTTTCAGGCCCTCCGAGAGACGCAGCAGGAAGGAGCCAGCATCTCCTGGAAGCAAAGAGTTGCATGAGAAGGCTGCAGGACTCCTGGTCTTACCGATCGTACCGAGGCCACTGGAGACACTGGTCTGGGGAAGATGATCAGAATGGGGGCCTGATTCTTTTCCGTACCGAGCTCCGGTAAGGACAGAACCCTGGAGCCCCTCCGTACCACCTGAAACACTCCATTCTGCCGTCCAAGGTAACCTGGTCATGTTTTAGGATTTGGTTCTAAAGAACATAAAGGCTCCAAAGACCACGTTTGGGTAAAAAAAGTATTTTAGTGGAAGTATTTAATTTCAGTGAAACTAAGACACGTCTGTAAGAAAGGCTGCAAATAAGAGGCCATTTGACCCTTCTAGCTCATTAAGTAGTTAGCAGCCAAACAATTCAAGAATCCAATACTGCCATTTTGTGAAAAAGAAGCCAGAGTGTCAGTTTTGACCAAAACAGCTCGGCAGTGTGGTCTAGACTCCAACAATCCTTTGTGTGAGGATGCGCCTGTTTAAAACGCACCTCACCTTCGATTCCTCGGGCTTGTGGTCTACTTTTCATTCAGGGGTGCTGATAAAGAGCCGGGGTCCTCTCACTCAATCAAATGACTGCCCAAACCCTCTCGGTTCAGTCGATTAAAAATGAAAACATTGCATGTGAAAAGCTCTGTGAACGGTGTGCATTTCGTTCACGTCTCAAAAGCTGTGTGTACAGCAGTGTCACCAAAGGCCCCTCATCTCTTCCCGATTCTCCGTCCAATCCCTGCGTAATGCTCGTCGCTGACAGAGTGAGCCGTACCTTGAATGGCGACGGTGGGCTTCCAGAACATATCCGAGTTCTTCAGAAGCTGAGACCTGTCCCGGTTCACCGCGATGATCCTGCTGCGCCGGCTCAGGACACGGCCGTAGCTCAGGCGGAAATCGCACACTGTGCCTGGGGGGGACACAACAGCACACTCGGGAGAAAAAAATCACTGCCGCCCCTTGCCTGACCCCGTGCCCCCGTCATTTCCCACCGCTTAACAAAATGATACAAGCAACCAGCTGGGACAACGTACGGAGGCCCAGCGTGAAGGCCAGGCCGCATATTTCTACTGCAGCTACGCTGGCGAGACGCTATCCAGGCCAGGGAGGTTTCTGCCAAAGCTGGTGGAGAACGTGACCCCTCCGGCAAGCGGAGCCCTACCTGCCAGGATCACCAGGTCGGCCTCCTTCAGGGCGTCTCGGCGGTTCTGGCGGATGTGCAGACCGCTGTCGCGGCCCAGCATGCCCCTGGCCATGCCACCCAGGAAGCAGGGGATGCCCAGCGACTCCAGCGCCGCCCTGAAAGTGGCGGACGGACACGGCTGACCGAACCTTTGCTTTAGGTCTTACTGCGCACGGGCGTCCACAGGCCCACTGTCTGCGGGCGCCCCTTCGCACCCCTAAAAAGCCCCCCCTGTCCCGTTGCACGACTCCTGACCAGGCTGACTAGACTTGCCACTAGACTCCTGGAATGCTTCTCACTCGAAAACGGCAAAACAACAAACGACTGCCCAAATCAAAGGCGGCCGTTCAGAGTGTTTATAACTTGTTTGCCCCCCTACCATCTGGCAGAAGGTTCCGGACACTCCAGTCGCACACAACTAGACTCCAAAATAGCTTCTTCCCCAGAGCCGTCAAGCTGGTGACGCCCCCACTCCCTCCCATCATACTATGATCTCTCCTAACTTCTTCCTGTACCCACAAGGACTGTACTCCAACACCACTACATACACAACTGAATGTAAGCCGAAATTGTACTTAAAACTGTATTAGTTGCAATATTTTTTAATCACCGCACTATTTTTGCACTGTTCCGCAAATTACTTTTGCACTGTTTTTGTCTTGTTGTATTCTTTCTCTGTTTGTGTATTTGCACAGTTTTGATTACACTGCTATTGTTATTATGTTACTGTCTATTGTCTTATCTTCCGTTCTATTTATATAGTGCACCTGAGTGACTAATGAGAAACACTTTTCACTGTACTATGCACCTGTGTAAGTATAATGACAAATAAAGTTGAATTGAGTTGAAGAGGAAAAGGGGACATTTCAACGGGAAAGCCTGTTACGCATAAAGCCAACCCAAGGGGTCCCCACCTGATTTTCTCTGCCGGCGTCGGGGGCAGAGTGGCCTGGCTGCCCAGCAGAATGACCGGCTTCTTGGCCCGGCTCACCAGCTCCACACACTGCTGGACCTGAGTGCGCAGGGGGGCTTGGCGTCATTATTGTACACGAGCACATCATGGGCGTTTCCTTTCCCTGCCCTTTCAACTCCCCAAAGTGAACAAGTCACTCCGTTACTTATGCATTCAGTGTGCTATTTTCATTATCAAGGGGAGAGGCCATTTTCCTGAACTGAAGTTTTTCCAGTCATACATAAACCCATAGGAACAACATGTGGTACATCTTAAGAGAAGCCTAAGGCAACAGTGAGGAATTATCACACTTGAAGGGCCTAGTGTTATGACTTTGTCCTGTATAAAGACTAGTACGCACATGACGCTGGCAATGGGCTGTCAAAGCGCTTTTCATACCACCTATAAATGATCCAAGAAAAAGACTGAATAAATTCCCAGAGAGATATCCCACACGCCGCGTTCTGTACTGGGCTGGCTCACCAAGAGCACCTGTACAGGTGCTAAACCTCGGTGAGCTGTCTGAGGTTGAGCTCGACTGTACCTGTTGGTCGGTTGCCGTGGGAATCTGTACAGGGAGGGGGGTGGTGTCCTGAGGCTCCCAGGCTCCGGCAAACAGGTTATTTAAATGATTCTGCAGATACCTGAGTGGAGACAGGAAAGGCCAGCTTTTCACATGATCTGAAATCCAGATTTACAGATTCCACAAACCAGATGATGTTGGCCCCCCGGGCTGAGGAAGACCTTCTTTAGCTCAGCCGGCAATATCCCTGCTGAGCGACGCCAGAGACCGGGGTCCGATCCCGAGGCGGGGGACGAACTGGGACAGGAGGGACAAGAGCAGAGACCCCCGAGAACCCGTGTTCGCTACAGTAACTTGAATAGATTCCTGGGAGTGCGAAGAGCAGAGGAGGAGAGCAGCAGCAATCGTTTGACTGCGACACAGAAAGCAGTGACTAGTAATGGCTCCTGAAAACATTCTTTACCAGGCGATAGCTTTGCCCACCAATCCCTTAGGGGCGTTTTTGACAGCAAACTCCTTCTCCACCAGATGGTAGGGGTACAGAGTATCGATGGGAAACTCCACGAACACGGGGCCTACAAAGACACAGAGAAAGCCAACAATCAGCCCTTACAAAACCGTCAAATATTCATTTACTTGGATGATGCCTTTTGAAGCAGCAGATTCTCACTGTATAGAGCCAGATATTTGACTAAAGCAATCTGAATGAAGAACTTGGCTCCAGTGCCTAAACCTCTAACCTCTCAGTAACCAGTCAGAGGCCTAACCACTCCTCCACTCTAAAGACAATCGACTCTTTTGACACAGCAACAACGTCAGATTAACACACACTGGCACCGTCCTGGTACGTCAGGCTTAATAGGCATCGCGTCCTGCAGGCCTGCTACCCTCAAGCAGAGAAAACTGCGACCCACAGCTGTAACAGTTCATGAAAATATATGATAGATGTATATCTGAAAAACAAAGACATTGAGCCACCATCCTTAAGTGTGCACCAGCTGAGTATTCCCTGTCTAAGGAAACCACAATAACAGTGAGGTTGTACACCAACACGTACGTCTTCCATGCTGCTAATGTAACAGCCTACAGGGTGCTTCTTTCATTTCCAGGGGTGCAGCAGTGGGATTCTGGGCCTGCTGGTCCCGAAGAAGTGGCTCTTGAAATGGGGGGCACTCACCTGGCGTTCCAGACTGGGAGACAGCGATGGCCTTCCTCAGCACGGGCACGATTTCCCTGACGGTGCGCACCGAGGCGCAGAACTTGCACAGCGGGCGGAACAGCGACAGCTGGTCGATGTCCTGCAGAGCCCCCCGACCCTGCGAACACAGGAGGTGGGAGGGTTACTCAGAGAGGAGGTACAGTACCCCACACACGCGGCACCCACTGGGGAAATCCACAGACTGCCATCAGCAACGCACGCCACTCCGAACATGCTGTCAGCTACGAGCTCTCATCTCAAACCACTACACACACCTCTGTTCTTTCGATGGAAAACTTTTGAATGAAAAAAAAAAACCACGATCATGTCACTTTTTCCTGGGCTCTCCAGTAAAATATCTTTGGTTCCGGGAACAGCCGGCTTTGCAATGCAAATTCCTGCTCATTCCGTACAGAGTTAGGATTTTACAATTCCGAAATAAAATCTGAAATTAATTTAATAGTAATCGTACATGCTTTTGAAGATGTAAGGTGCAGAAAAAGACATGTAAAAAGTGTCTGATTTTCTGTTTTCTGCAATCACAACGTCAGAACGTGCTGACTACAGGGATTCGTATCCCAGGCTTCAGGGACAGGATGTTTTACAGTATACGTTTCAGACAAGGTTCACGGTGGGGGCAAAGTGTAAAATCATTTGTCAAAGAAATAACTACCCCTTACAACCCCCCCCCGCCCCCCAGAGAAAAAGGCGACCGACGGGTATGGACTTAGAAAGGCCGGTTAACACCTTCCATTTTTATTTTGACAGACAAACACAGGACCGTATGCTCGAGTCCCGGCTCTCGAAATTGTTTCTGCACGGGTACAGGAAAGGTCAACAGCTAACCTGCAGCAAAGTAGCTGCTGCTCCCCCTATCAGAAGCAGGGGAGACTCGGCCATCTGTGCGTTCTTCACTGCCGTCACGGTATTAGTCAGGCCTGGTCCTGCAGTCACCGCGGCGACGCCAACGGTCCCTGGCCAAGGGAGAGAGAGATACAGAGACGATGGAATTAACCCTTCGTTACACACACAGTCCTCCCGCATGCCAGTGACACAGTATAGCCTCCTGCTACTGCAGGATCTAGGGCGGGATGGGCCTTCTGATTCTCCTAAAGCAGCTGAATTAAAGCTTGAAGTGGGAAAGAAACGTGCAAGAACAACCTGACGTTTGGTCTGTTTCTCGGCCTGCAGCGCTATCCACCTGTCTGCAGTCTGACACAGCGCAGGAAAGCTTGAAATCCAACAGAAACAACGGATGAGGTGGGCGTTTTGTGCTTTCCTGCAAAATCTACCAAACCAAGCACAGCACGATCTCTGCAGCGGGTTGCTTAAAAGCTGGCACTGGGTGGGACAATTCCAAGGAAAGGGAAACCTGCGCAGATACGGGTCCGGGTCAAAGGTCGGGGGTGGGGTTACCGAGCAACCAGTGCGGATCTCACCGGACATCCTGGCGACGGCGTCCGCGGCGAACACGGCGGTGGCTTCGTGCCGGGTGTCCACGATGCGGATGCCCAGCTTCTCGCAGGCCACCAGGATGGGCGAGATGTGGCCGCCCACCAGGGTGAACACGAACTTCACGCCGTGGGAGCGCAGGACTTCCGCCACACTCTCGCCTCCATGGCGCGGGCTCTTTGACTCCGCCTACGAGACCGCAGGGACACGCAGACCGGGTTTTTAGGCTTGTCTTGAGCAGCCAGCCCAGGTCCTAGAAAGTCTTAGTTCTGGAAAGCCTATAGAGCCGGGCCATGAAAACTCACCTGGCCCTTTGCACTGCTTTGCAGAACTAAGCCCAAACCTTTCTTCAGGTAGTTTACTGAGGAACGCCAATGAAACAGGATGCAGATTGCCCTATAGCAGAGGGAACTGCCCTTTGACCTTCTGGAAAATGACTTCCAGTTGTTGACCCTTTGATTCTGAGACTCGATCAGGTTTTCGTGAAAGGTGATGCTAGGAGTAGGAGGCTCCTACTCCAATTACTTGAATAATGAATGGTAATTTAAGTAAATCTAAAGGAAGCCAGGGTATCGGCTTCAACAACACAGCTGGGCAGCTTGTTCCGGACACCCTTTGTGATAAGAAGCATCTCCTGTCCTGAGTGGAGGATCTCATCCTATTTTTTTTTCTTGAAAGAAGCCAGAGTATCAGCTTCAGCAACAAGGCGGGAAACCTGTTCCACACTCCCACACCACTTTGGGTAAAGAAGTGTCTCCTGCTCTATTCATGACCACAGAGACACGCGGTCCCCCTAGGTGGCGAAAGAACTAAAGAACTTTCCAACTTTTCATGTCCAAACTGCCGAAACCACTCACACACTCACCCAAGAGGGAGCGAAGAGCAGGATTTCGAAAGACTTGAGTCTGCTCCCCTTACCTGCTAAACTGGTCGAGCATGTGTGAATCCGCACCTGGCAGGACACCCCAGTGAATGGAAACCACTACACTCTCCCAACTCAGGCATCTCTTCTCAACTGTACTGACCCCCTAAGCTCCAAAGCAAGGGCCTGCTGGAGACCCCCCAACCCAGTCAGTCCTATAGGTAACCTGTTTCTAAAGAAGTAAAGTTACATCTAAAGACAAAAGATAAAGTAATCTGTTCCATTCATAGAACTCCATTGCCGAAGGGCCAGACAAGGGATTTCTAATCCTGGTCGTGGAGGAGCACACTTCCTGTGTATTCACAAAATAGGTGTATTCTCAAACTCGGGTACCAGACTCTGGCTTTGTTAATTTAGTTTTAGTTTAACAAATGGCCTGCTTAAATGGTCACAGTGAGAAACAGTTTCAGAGTTTCAGAAAGAAACGATTTAATGACGGGTCGGACAAACCCGCTGTCCTAAACGAAGCCAGCAGAACAGGCACTTACCTTGTGGAAGAACTGGTAGATGACTCCAAGCTTGTATACTGCAAACGCCAAAATCGCACAAGCGCAACCGCAGAGGCACCCAAGCGCTGTAATAATACTACTCCAGTAATCCATTGCAACTGCTCGGAGAAATCAAATGTATAGGAACAGCGAAAAGGCAACGTGTAGCCGATGCAAAGTCAAATACTGCAATCCATGTGGCACTCTGTATAATAATACATCGAAACAACCCAAGATATACACAAACTGCAAAAACGTAGTTTAAGTCAAGTGAAAAAATGTCATAAAAAGTTAACTTAAAAGCAACCTAATGGTACGTTCATGATTATTTCCTCAGCTTCTTCAGAAGTTAAAGCAACACCATGCTTTTCCTAGAGTTAGATCATCCCAACGCGCCCGATTACATGGGCGAAAGGAGAGGATTTTTAAATACAAATATGAATGAAAGCTTCAGAACTTCTTGAAAGTGTCACAACAGCACGCTGGTCCCGATTCCATTTGGAAAGACCGAAGTCCTTCAGCTGTCACAGGGGGTTCCGCAATTTCCGTAAAGGTCTTCGCAGAAAAAGCACTTATGGGACTTGTGATCACTAAAGTGTTTTGTGAATTCAAGCCGTAGCGCCGTTTGCGGTGATAGATGGGACCTGTGGCCAATAGGAAGAAAGAGGCTTGGTTTAGTGTCGGTGGAGGGGCGGGCTCTACGGGGATGTATTTCCTGGTTCCGAGTGAAATCGAGGCAAAGGTCACAAGCTTTGAATGTGGTTCGTGAGTCTCTCTTTTTGTTGTCAAAGTTATGATAAAAACATAAACGTCGCCGACGGTTTTCATGACAAGTATTGTGTACTTTAATACACAGCCCTTGGTAAAACGTTACATTTAGAAATAAAATAGCTACACTTGAGTGCGTAGTCGTTCACCCCAAAAACGGCAACCTAAAAGTGGATACAAAAACACCCATAAGACGAGAAGATAAAACTCATTTTCCTGATTCAAAAATTAAAGAGTAACAGTATTTTAACACATTTATCTAGCTCCGTGAAGTTGCCCCCCCCAGACAGCACAAACAATTAAGTCCACCTCATTCATTAGTGCTGTTTGTGCCGTTGAAAGTAGCGTTTGACCTGCTTTCGTTCCGGAGATATACTATATCATATAGCGCCTTGTTTTTCGGGTGATCACATGACCGTGCACGGTGCCTTTGACCTGCAGTGACCCCGTCTGCCGAGTTCAAGCGCTCTGTTACTGGTGCGAGAGTAACAGTTCTGCAATTGTGTTTCTCTGTTTGGCCGGGTGGGGGGCGATTTTGCATTTAATACCAGTATCTTCTGTGCTTTTGTGTGAAAAGGAAATTAAAATTATTATTATTATTATTAATAATAATAATAATAATAATAATAATAATAATAATAATAATTGCTTACACTTATATAGCGCTTTTTCTGGACACTCCACTCAAAGCGCTTTACAGGTAATGGGGACTCCCCTCCACCACCACCAATGTGCAGCATCCACCTGGATGTCACCAAATTGTCACCAATATCATACCCTAATCAGAAGAGTTCTGGATGTAGCCGTAAAAGGCGAACATCAGCAAGCAACTACTGTACTTGTTCTTTCCAAGAGTCTTTTAACTAGCATGTCTCAGTATTTCCTAGCTGTTTCCTTTTTAAAAACTCCCTTGCACCTTAATGGGAATTGGAGTAGAAATTCTGCTTAAAAGAGAAGAGCACCCTCTAGTGGTCGACTCAGACCATGAACAACCGCAACCCGGTTTCCTGTCCCAGTATGGGTCAAGCCCGGTTTCGCTCTGTTTCTGACCACTGGCAACATCAGAAGGTTGAAGCCGTGCTTTGTGTAACTGGGCTGTTTAGCAATCTGATGTTCCCCGTGTGTCTGATTAAATGCAAAGAAGCAGAGCTGCTGTATACTGTAGTTGACGGAGATCTGGACTCGCTGGCAGTGAAAATTTGCGTTTCACCTTTGCGTTGCTTTTATTTTGCTCTCATTGCCAATACTTATCTGGTGTCGAGTGAGTGGGTTTGCATCGAGCGGAAATAGAGTCCAGGAGTTTCCAGTCGAGCCTTGAGATGTTTACCTTCTCTTAGGGGGAACATGAAGATATCTTAATAGCGTTTATTCTCTCCTATACTATACTTTTTCCTATATTGAATACTGAAGATTGTAAAATCTCTTTCGATGGACAGTATACTGCTCAGACTATGTCAGTTGCTAATAGATTTGGATATTTAGTGTGGTGGCAAATTACATCAGTGCGCCAAAGGTTAAGGCTATACACATTTGCACCAATCTTCCTTCAGGCTACAGTGGCTATGGTTTAGCGTTGGTAAGTATTGAAATCTAAGGGGTATGAAGCGCACGGAAGCTGTGTGGGTAACAGGTGAAAATTTGTGCAACTGGACTGCAGTCGTGTTTTGCAATCTCTTTGCGTGAGGAGAGCTGCACCATCACCTTCTAGTCTAGAAACTATCTGAAACACAGCCTCGCCCTGCTCTGACTCTCACTGCCTGGGGTTGGGGGCACAGTCGAAGCCCAGCTTTTTAAATGCCCCCTCAAAACATTTTTACCGCAGAATGAATAAATGCAGAACGGATTTCAGAGACGGTCTCCTGCGAGAGTTACAGGGGGTGAGCTCAGATATACTGTATTATGTGCAAATCCAATGGCGAAAATCACCTCAAATAAAGCTTCATGTGCACCGACAACAGACATAAAACACATCTTCCGTCACACATCTGAGACCACCATCAAGTCTCCCCGCCGGCTCAGTTACCCCTGACGCCTGTGCATTTTCTGGGCGGTACGTAAGAGGCATACTAACACCTCCCAGCCCTCCGGAACTGACATTTTCCTGTGGAAAGAGCGAGCATAGTGCGCCTTACACTACTCGAAAGTTGCACTTGTCTGTTGTTTAATGTATCGCAGTTTTGCAAAACATCCTCTCCTGTTAGATCTGTGGCTGTGTAAATGAAACATACGTTTCCTGGAGAGATTCCGCAGAGAAAGTGACACATCGATGATCATTCTAAGCATAAGAAATGCCCAGCGAAGGAGAATTGCCGCTATCGGTCTTATTCTTGTAGGGGTTATTACGTACTACTACATCAGGTAAGCCCGTGACTCGTGATAAACATGCAATGCACAGTAGAAATAACCGATGTCTACATTTGCCGGCTTGTAAACGGCATTAAAACACACCTCACGACGTCTTAGTAATAATCCTGACCGTGCTGGAACGAAGTGGGTTATGCAGAAGGCATTTCACGTGCTTTCGCGTTTTGTTTTGAGCAAAATCTACAGCATTATCACAGTTTTGAGCGGCCACGATAGTGGCTTTTAAATAAGGCGAATAGATTTTTACAGTTTATTGTGAGAAAACGAGAGGCGTTTATCATTTATGAAACACATCACCCCCCGTTTAAAGTCCAACCAATCGAAAGACACATGTACGAAGAAAACGCCTAATTATGACCATCACGTCAAAAGTGAACTTCGTGGGTAATGAAATTGGGCTTTAAGCATGCCGAACACCGGATTGTCACTTGAATGAAAATACCATGCCAGCTGCTTAAATGGGTATTAAGACAGAAAGAGCAGGAATACGTCAGCAGAAGCAGCTGCTAACAATAGTAGAATAATTATTATGTAAAAAGGTACAGCAGGTAGTCTTTAACTGGTCAGTAATGATGTGATACCATTACCCTTTACAAATTCGTTGTGAGGGAGATCCTTACAGTATATTTCCCTTTCTTTTAAGTACTATTCGTGCAAAAAGGTTTTTTAAAATCGTTTTTTTAACAGATAATTTCAGAGCCATGCACTTCAAAGCGGAATCAGAAGGGAAATGCTGCTTGATTTCTAGAAACGTTACAAAACTCGCTGGTAATCAGTGATGTGTTGTGAGTGTGGTGGAGTCCTTCATGTTCTGGGACTGATTATGATTTTTTATCCCCTTTCAATGGGACACGAATATCGTCAGCATCACAAAGAAAGCATAGCAGAGAACGTACTGTTTTTTTGCGCCAACTGGAAGATTTTGGTGTCTCTCAACCAATTTTGACAGTTTTTCAGAGCTTTTATCGAGAGCGTTCTGACGGCCGCTTTAGCTGTTTGGTTCGGCAACACCTCTACTCAGCTCTAAAAGTGCAGTGTGTTGTTAGCTCTGTGGAGAAGGTCATTGACTGTTCTCTGCCCTCCATGGATAATTTATTCAATTCCAGAGCAAAGAAACAGGCAGGAAAGATCACAGAAGACAACTTCCACCTAGGTTACGCCCTGTTCCATAAACGTCCTTTAGAATGACACTACTGGTCTATTAAAACCAGAATCACCTGGTACTTGAACAACTTCTTTACTAGGGCTGTTATTTTGCTAATCCAGAATTTCTAGTTATGAGTGCACTGCCTTAATGAGGTCTATTGTCTGGTTTGCGTGTGGTATGTGCAGAAAGCTTTTGCAGCACCAAGTGTACCAGATTAATGTCCTTCTTCGTGAAACAGACTGGGCAAATAAAGGAGAATCCGATTCTGAATTCAGAAACTGGCACGTGGTTTCATTGGTCGTGACCTTCAAAACTGTTTTTTTATAAACGTTTTAGAGATGCCGAGGTGCGGTGTGTTTCTGAGGCGGTTGCTATGGGGTCTCAAGGGACCCTCTGGTTTGAGGTACAGTACCAGTACCAGGCTAAGACTGAGACAACATATATTGCCAAATCTGCAACAGCAGCATGGCTCTCAGATATAACAAGAACGCCAGGTGCATAGTTCACTTTGGTCTTTTGAAGCAGACCACTGCAGTGTAAGTAGTAAGTAATAAAATAATTTGCCTTGGCTACCTACAGTAGCTTAAAGCTGGGAAAATCACTAGAAGAGATGTGCAAATTATTTTAACTTTTTAATTCATTTTTTATATTGGCTTTTGGTCAGTTTCTTGCTTTCCATCCATGCATCCTTGAGTGGGATGATTCAGTTCTTACGTAGCTGGTGCCACATTTTCCTGGATCTCTGGTATAGTATAGTAACTTCAGTGTGTCCCCAGTTTTTTACGTTACTGTCAATTTCCATCCGTTCTGGAAAATGAACATATTGGTTGAAGACTCTCTGCAGGAGGCAATATGTCAAGCATGTAAGTATGTTTGTATAAACTGTATAGTTTTCAGGGGTCTTGGTATTGATCGTGAGGCACATCGCAGACTTGCTTCAGTGAGCCTTTTTCCCCCAAAATGTTTCAATTTACACTTCTCTTCCAAATTTACCAGCATGCTCACTGAGTGTATTTTGTCTGGCTTAATATCTCACTTTTACAGACTTTTTATTTGTGGGCCTGAGGTTTCAGATAGTACACGAATGGGCAATTCTGATATTAACTGGACAGAAATGAGGAAAATTGCTCACAAGAATAAAAGAAATATGACAATTGAGAGAAGGCCAGTCGCCCCAGCTGGCTCATTTGATTCCTAGAAGTTACTTGATCTGATGATCTCATCCTGCTGTTTCTTAAACAAAGCCCAGGGGTCGGCTTCAGCAACACACCAGGAGTGCTTGTTTTTAGACCCCTCTGCCCAGTACATTTTCAGGACTCTAGGTTGTAGGTTCAGGACATAGTTAAAAAGGTTTTCAGGTGCACGTGCAAACGTTTAAATACAGGTGAAAGTTTTGCACTTTAATGGAAAACACTGCATGTAATGCAGCTTTTATAATATTTATAAAAAAAATATTTTTTAAATGGCTTTCCATATATAATTTCCATATATATTACCAAATATATTCTACCCCAACTCTCTTTTGTACAGCACTTTATATGAACCGAGTTTATCCAGCTCTCTTCATCTCCCCCCAAAACTGACCTACTGTAGATTCCCTTTTTGGACACTCACCTGATGGCAAAGGTTTCATATCTAAGATTTATTCCTTGTTTTTTTCATGATGTTTTCCATACTTGTCCATAGTTAAAATTTGCGAGAACAAGTCCTGGACACGGTTGTTATATTATTCAAATGAGCCAGTGGCAGTCCTGTTCAGACACGGCCTCATGTCTGAGTCTGAGCTTGCTCAAAGGTTTCTCAGTTCGGATGTGTAACAGATGTGGATGGGCTCCTGCGTCTCTCATGCATACCTTTTGGTCTTGTCCCAAACTGGTTAATTTCTGGTCCTCCATCTTTGCCACTTTGTCTAATATTGCTCATCTTGAAATCAAACCCTCTCCTTTTTGTGGTGTTTTCGGTGTGCCACCTCATAACCTCACCCTATCAAAAATACAGTCTGTCTTGCAAGGCGCTTTATCCCCTTTAAATGGAAGCAAGTTGCCCCACCCTCATTTGTCCAATGAATCACAGATATGAACCAGTTTCTTCAGCTGGACAAAATTAGAGACTAATTGGATCCACCAATATGTTTTTTTTGAAGCTTGACAATCATTTCTGAACTATTTAGAGACTTTAAGAACCTCCTTCTGCACCCTAGACCTTCTGTCACTAATTGGCTGCTCAGATGATCCCTGATAGTACTGGCCTTACATTTATTTTGCTTCCTAGAGACTTTAGGGCAGAGTAATTAGTATTTTGCTGTGCTCTTTTCCTGTTTTCATGAGTTATACGTCTCCGGTTCCGTTACTTGAATATGCCGCTTATGCGTCGTGTATTTAAGTTGGTTTATAACCGGTAAAAAATACTTGTGGGGGGGATTAAAAACCCGGTTTCCCACCAGCTCGCGGACGGTGATGATGAAGATAAGCCGGAAGGTGGGACTGGAGGCGGAGTCTTCGGAGTTCACGCTCGGGGGAGAGAAGTTCCGGATCCTGGGGGGATCCGTCCACTACTTCCGCGTGCCGAGAGCCTATTGGAGGGATCGCATGAAGAAGATGAAGGCCTGTGGCCTGAACACTCTCACCACGTGAGTGTGGCCGTTGGGCCATTTCTTCCTCTGCCTTTGTATGACTTTGGCTCGGATTCGGTTTTGCTTTTTGTTTAAAATTTCGAAACGCCCCTTATTTTGACTTCAAAGAGCCAGTTGTGGGTTTTTTCCACACCTCGGCTTGCAGCTCCAAACAACCACAGTCCCCTGACACACCCAACATCATGCAAAACCAGCCTTTTCACACATCACAGGGAGCACAGCCCCCTACTGGAGGATGAGCACTGATCACAGCAGAGGTGCGACCTCACCTACAGCGCCATGTGCCTGCAAGCACCAGGAGGCCAGAGGTGGCGCTGTGTCACTGACAGCCCATTGTGTGCCGCCGTTTGGAGAAACCCAATGGCTGTTGGCTTGTGTCATGACAGGCTCAAACCCGCGGCCAGGGAGCTCAGCCTGTGCTCAAGTGAGCTCCTGTATGAGTTGAGCCATTCAGGAGACCCTATTTGTTCTAGTTTATTTTCATCTTGGGAATATATGAATATATTCGGGGGAGCGGCAGCACTGTGGTTAAGGATCTACGCCTGTGGCTGGAAGGTTGCTGGTCCAAATCCCACGGCCGACAGAGGAATCCTACTCCATTGGGCCCATGAGCAAGGCCCTTAACCCCAGCTGCTCCAGGGGCGCTGTACAATGGCTGACCCTGCGCTCTGACCCCAAGCTTCTCTCCCTGTCTGTGTGTCTCATGGAGAGCAAGCTGGGGT